AGATGCCGTTTGATTTAGGTGATGAGGTCAGATTGCTTGCTTTGAACAGTTGTTGTGGCTTACTTTAAAAATCAGAGCTACAGAGACAGTTTAATTGAGAATCAGTGAATGTAAGGAACTTTATAATTAATGCTGTTCTGTATTTTTACCATTTCCATAGTTTCAGACAGTGTGAGAGGTGTATGTACATCTGTTCTTTTTAAATTCTGTCTGGAATTTCAGACTTTTGCTTTCAGACAGTAACCTGAAAATGTTTCAGGTTACTCTTCTAAGGCTGAATTATGTTATTCTATTTTAATATTGTATTAGAATTGGGGGTGGCCATTTTAATCTATAATTCAATTAAAAGGACACCTTTTGAGGTCTTCTCATTTTCTGTGGAGTTATGGCATAATCTGAAGAGTATCCATCAGTGTAGGTTATAGTTTTTAGCAGCTTGATTTTTGTCAAAAAATTAAAATATTGGCAGTTCCTGCTTTGAATGTCATTTTATTAGGACTATGTAAATAGATTGGGTAATATCCGCAAGAGAAGTACAAGAGATGTAATATTTAAATAATTGATGTGAAGTTTAATTTGACAAGTAACTGGTCATTAAGGCAGAGGTTTGGAACAGGGTCTTTTTCACTGGAGAGGGCAGAAGCTGCCTTCAGAGCTCTTCGTTATCTGCAGCCTGAGATTCATTAGCTAATACAGATGGGATAACCCGCCTGTCGCAGACCTAGAAGAGCTCAGCCCAGCGAGCCTTTCATCAACAAAGAAATAAAAGCATTCCTCTGTAACAGGCTTCAGCACTTATCTCTGCTCGCTGGTACTGTTTGTGCTGAACCAAAGCAGCTGCTACCCTGAGTTAAGGGAGAACAAACTCAACATGGCGTGAAATTACTGCACTTCCATTCACAGTCATTAGAGTTATATTGTTACCAGCCACAAGCATGACTGGTCTTTGCATGAATAATAACAAGAAATGCTACTTTGTGAGTTTTACCTTTAAAACATTAACAAGACACCATGCAAACTTTGAAACTGTGTAATGTGGTCCATCTAGTAATAGATATTATTGCATTATTCTTGTCAACTGCTCGTATAATACTTAAGAGATGTGGAAAAGGGCAGATAGGAAGTTTCTAAAGGGGTTAAAAGGTGGATGTTAAAACTAACTCCAAAAAGTCTTGAGTGTAGGTTCCAAAAAAAGTGCTGCTGCAACATGCAACTTCTTATGGTCACAGGGGAGCAGAAACCAGTGTCCAGATCCTCAGCTCCCAGATGGGTTATTCCCCCTGGCTCAGTTAGGAGTGAACCAGAAAGCAAGTGGAAACTTGTGTTGGTGCTTATTCCTCATCCAGCAGATCAGTTTCGTCCTGCCTACTGATAGGTTGAATTTCAGAAACAACTATGTCACCTGCCTTAAATTCACTGTCATCTTGTTGGTGCTGCTGCCACAGTGAGACCAGAACGTGGCTACAAATCCACTGTCTGTGCAGTGGTTCTGCGCCTGCTTTTTGTGTCCGTGTGCTCAAATCTGGGGTGAATTTTGTCTAAAAAACCTTCAGAACGTTGCACCCAAAGAGCAGGGAGGACTCTAATACATGCTTTGACAGTCCAGCAGTGTAGATCTTTCCTCAACAGGTTTTGTTATGCTCTTTTGGTTCTTATTAGTCTTTAAAGACCAAAACCAAAGCCAGATTATTCTTATTCTTTTTTTATTTAAATAATGCTGTTTTTATTGATTAGTTGCATTTTGTTCCAGCACTTCTTCTGTTTTTTGAATCTGTTTCACATAGATGTGTAAATTGTATTGCACATCTCACTCATTTATGACACTTTAATATGTCAAAATACCTAAAATTTCAAAGCTGATCCCAATACGTTGAATTATTTGCTTCTTAACATTTACAAAATGGGTTTTTCTTCTGTGGCTAATCAGAACGGTGTCTTTCTGTTGTGATAGTACCCAAATTCAGAAGCTAATTGCTATAGATACAGCCTAAATATACAACAAGGAGCTTAAAAAGTTTGGAAGCTTGTACAGCTTACAGTCTGCAGAAGGAGAGGGAGGGTGTTTCTCCAACTTGTATCCATCTGCAGCTGGTTCTGTGGACATGGGCTTCCCCTGCTTGTAAACAGCACAGGTGATGCCCAAGTTTCAGATGACAGATTTTTATCAAACCTGGAAGGTTACACTACTTGTTGTCTTGTCTGTCTGCAAAAATGTTGTTTGTCACTCCTGATTAGTTTAGGTCTGTTCATTTCAGGTTCCATTAACCTTACGTAATTTGAGGTAAAAAGCAAACAAAAAACCCTATTAAATCTATATAGCTGCAGCTCATTTTTTCAGTGAAGTAAACCCACAGACTTTGCCATTATTTTTCACTTTAGTGTTGTACAACCCCTGGACATGATCAGTGAAGATTTTTTAAGTCTTTCATTAGGGGAAGTTATGTGTCTACCACACTAATTTATTACAGATAATAGAAATGGTAGAAATAGACATTAACTCTCTCAAATAAGTTGTCCAGATCTTAAGCATTCTTTTATTCTGTCTTCAAACAAATGGAAACCATTTTAGAGAATTAATTTGTTTCCAGTGTAAAATAGCAATTGTGACTATTTAAAGAAAACTGTTTTGGAGTTGTTGGGTATTTTTGAGATAAGCTTCTAAGGAAAAATGGTCAAACAAACCCACTTTTTTTCCCCTTATACAAAGGGAGTTGTAGACTATGCTCTAGACATGCCTTAATATAGCATGAGATAAATTTTGAAGGTTTTAAATGTAATATTTTTCACAGCCAGAACAGTTGTTTAACTCTTGTGTGAACTGTACTGTTGAACATAACATGAGGAAGGTGCTCATGGTCTGCCCAGGTATGAAGAGCAAGTTGTGAGGAACTCTCCTGTTGCCTAAGCCCACTCAGGTCTTAGATCCATGTGATACTTTAGTGTATCATCATGGTGATCCACTAGTGGAATTTCTTTCCATAGCTGTGAAGATCCCCTTGGTAGCAGTTGTGTGTGTGCAGGGCTCAGCAATAGTGTCAAAATTCCAAAGGGAAAAATTAGTAATCCAGTAGCATCTGTAGTAGTGAGGATTTTTAGGAATAAAACTTTACAATTCATTTTTGTAGCAAGAATGTTCTCCAATTGCCAGGAATCAGCAACTTCTAAGTTTTCTTTTACAGCTTGGAGGTTTGGTGATGCTTCTTAAAATTTGTTTAAAGCTAGTTAAAACTTGGCAGGGGACAGAAATGCTGTCTTGTGAAGAGAGAATACCCCTAATTAGCTGATCAGTGGTGCTTGACCTTGTGAGCAATGGGGGGAGCTCTCAGCTCCTGCTGGGATCAAATTTATATGAATTTGTGAGCCCCTGCCTGGTGCTGGCCCTGCTGTGTGTCATTCAGAATCTGTTTCTGCTCTGGGCCAGCCTGAAATGTCTCCTGCTCCTGATGAATGGTACCTTGTTTTGCAAATAGACTCTGGGAGGTTAACCATCCTCTGTGAATGAAGTTACTATACAGTGTGAGGGAGGATATTTCAGTCTGGCCAATGGTGAGTGCTGAGCTGCATTAACACTGGATTTTCTGTAGCTCTTCCACTTTTCATTCCCTTTATTTCAAATTTAGGCTAGAGGCAAGTGGCAAAGGCCCTGCAGAAAATAGGAAACATATTGTGAATTAGAAGACTTTTTCAGATTCTTTTCAGCTCTGTGTTTCCCACCATAGGAATTGGCTGGTATCAGCTTTTCTGAGTCCCCCTCTGTCCCCTGTTTAACATGTAAATTATGCAGTAGTTATTAAGTGTTCTAGCCAAGAGTGGTGGGACAGTTCTCCTTTGCCTCCCAACCACTAGTGTCAGTGGCTACTTCTGACTTTTTTTATGGATTGATTGATTGAGTCAGACGAGGTACTTGAAGATAAGACAGGTATTTGATTACCACATTCTATTTTTTGTTTAGATACTTAAAAAAACACTGGACCTGAGACAAAAGAAGCAACCTTTCCACATTGTCTGTAGAAGAGTCACAGATAGAAAAGCCAGCAACTTCTTAAGGACAATTGTAGTCATCAGGGTATTGATGGGTAGCTGATGTAGATTCTTAGGTGGTTACAGCATTGCTCTGAGAAGAAAGTTATTTTGGTCATCCCAATAAAAATATGCAGTAAAAAAATGAAGGTTTCCTAACAACTGAAGATCTAGAAACCCTGTTTTGTACTGAGGTTTGAGAAGTCTCACCTTAAAAACCATGATTGGGAATTGAGACACCATAATCTCCTTGCTCTAATTTTATGGTTCTCATTATAAAATTCTATTTTCAGAATCTAATTACTTTAAAATATTTGCCATGTGCAAAGCACCTTGTAATTTCTGAACTACTGTACCTGCCTTCCATCAGTTCTGTGGGAGAAATACAGGTATCATGCCTGTTGTTCATTTGTGGAAACTTAGATACCATGTGCTGTTGCTTCTCCAGATGTAAAGTGATTTGGTGGTAGATCAAGTAGAAGTCTTACATTGGCCAGTGTTCTGTCACAATGGGATGATGACATTTTTTGCTCTCTTGGGAGAGGAAATAAAAAGCAGGAGACCTGACAATATAAAATCTGTAACTGAGAAAACGTTTTACTCTTAAAAAGGTCTTTTTTTTGGAGGTGAAGGAAATGTTTATGGTCACATCTGCTCCTCAGCTCAAGGTGTTGTGACTTGGAGCTGCCTGTGGCAGGAGGTGTGTGCACTGACCTACACTTGTCCAGCCACTTGACAGCTTCCAGACTTGGTGTGTGGGTGTTCAAACCAAGGAGTGGTCACACTGCAGCCACCACAGACTCTATAGTCCAGTGCATAATGCCCTTTGCTTAACAATTTTTTTCCCCCTACAAGTGTCTTCACATTGTTTTGACTCAGTCTTAAGTTGAGAATGATAAGAACTCTAAAATAATCTTTTCTGATTTAGAAAAAAATTGTCTAACAGTAGTATGTGATGTTCTAAATCTTTTATTCTGTAGGTCAGTAACAGATCCACGAGATGGAAAGAGAGTTGCACTCAAAAAGATGCCCAACGTCTTCCAAAATTTGGTCTCTTGTAAAAGGGTCTTCCGGGAGTTGAAGATGTTGTGTTTTTTTAAGCATGACAATGTAAGTAAATTCCAAGTCATTTTGAAGTCTTTGATAACACCTGCTTGTAAAATGGAGCTATCTATAACAGAAGGTTTTTTTTTTTAAGTTGTAGACTTTCTAAAAATGCTCTCTAATTTTACAGTTATCAGCTTTCCTGGAAACAGATAATACTGTTGCAAGCACTGTAAAAAAACAATGAAATTATCAAGAATCTAAGGGTATTAATTTCCCTTCCAAAAATGTTTGCAAATAGACAGGCAATGCACTTCCACCTAATATTATTTTAGGCTCTAGATAAATGTCAGTCTGCACAATGTTATGCCAGCTGGTGATGCTTTCACTTCCAAGCTATTCCTTACTCCATCTTCTTCCCTCCTCTGTTGGAGTTCAGTGCTTCCTCAGTTCTTCCAGTGGTTGTGCAAGCACCCCCAAATCTGCTTTAAGTCAAACATAGAAAAAATTGTTTAATTGTGCCATACAGTTGTGACTGAAGTGACTGAAAAAGTACTTAGAGAAACTGTTCCAGAAGTGCAACTTTGGGTGTGGTAACCTCTCCCATTGATGAGCATTAACAAGCATCTTGGGAATATTATCTTCTCCTAGTGGAATAGGGTCAGGAAGCAGGTATCAGTTTCAGAACCTTATTTCATTGCTCTTCTTCTTGTTTTAAAGTTACCTTTTTCTAATCTGAGGGCATTGTGATCCAAGAAAGATTGTATTTGTGGTTAAGCACTGGCTTCAGATCAGTGGTGGTGATAGTGGTGCACAAGAGGAGTGGACACCTTGTAAACTTATAGAGTCATCCCCCTCACTGTTACCAGTCCTTGGGAGATTGATTCTGGGACAAGATTTCTATTGAACTGGTACCTTAAACAGCTCCTCACCAGGTCTTTGTTATGGAGAAGATTTTACTTAGGACTATAAAATGAAATAGAAGCATTTCTTTAAGTAGTTAGAGGTTGAGCCTGATAACCACTGAAGTGTATGTACTTCACCTAAATGTTATAGATATTCCTAGGACAGGATCTAAAGGCCTACAGGAAGGTGGTATTTTTTTTTCCTGTGAGAGGATTCAAATTCTGTGTTGCTGATTTTCTACATTTGTGCTTTGCACAGAGCGCTGAGCTTCTGATTCAGAATGTGAAGAACTCTGGGGTTTGTAGTTTGAAGCAGTGTATTACAGAAACCTTAAAGAGGAAAGGCAGAACAAAGTGTAATATCTTTTGCTTTTACATTTCTCTGCTAGAATGACTTCTTTCAAATACGTTATTATATATATTTGAAATAAACCAATGTTTATTGGGTAGACAAACATAAGCTTTTAAGCTGGTACTTGAACAGTTGGAGAAGTTTCTTGAATTAAAAAAACCCAAAAACCTTGAATGTAGAGAATATATGACTTGTTGGGTTATTAAATTCACATATCTAGTGAGATAGAATATTGGTCTGTCTGTGTGGGATAGAATAAAGCTAAGCTCTGTAAGAACAGTACAGTCTGTCTTTTAGAAAGGGATTTGTTTTCATTTGACTGGGATAGGTCTTGATCTTGTGTGGTGTTTCCTAGGTACTCTCTGCCCTCGACATACTCCAGCCTCCACACATTGACTATTTTGAAGAAATGTATCCTAAATATAAAATAGGGCATCTTAATTGAGGTAGGTGTAATTTTCATTAGCTTAGAAACTGCAAGTGCTTGGTGGAATCTATGCAACAGAACTACAAAAACCTTGAGCTTGTATCTGAACGGATTTATTTCAAGAAGTTAATCTATACTGTCAAGAACTCTTAGTTAATGTTAACATTGGAGATGAAATGGTGCAGGATTGAACATGAAGCTTTGACTGTGTAAGAGCCAGTAACTGCAGGGCACTGTGGTATCTACCAACAGATACTGCTGCTACTAATGGTGAGTCCCCCAATACATTTTCTTGAAAACTATATCCAGTCATTAACTTGCTCTCAGTTATTAGTACCTTAAAATACTTCCTGATGTCTTCAAGGAGGGCTACTGTCTCATGCTTTGAAACCATGACTTTTCAGGGATGGTTCATCAAGACTAGTTGGGTTGTGGCTTTCCTTGTTCAGCCTCTATCTTGATCAAGAAAACAGATCTCACACAGATGTTTGTGCTGTTTAACCTGTCCCTGATACAAAGGTACAAGCTGTCTTTGGGTAACTGTATTAAAAAAATCTAACTATAGTATGAGAATGTCATGTGTTGTTTTTTTCCATTTTCAGTCTTTGTTTGGCTTGGCTTCTGTTTTGGGCTTGGGAATTTCTGGATTCTTCAATACTGAAAAGTTAAGCAAGTCATTGAGCTGGGTCAGCTCTTACTCTAGTTGGAAGGGAAGTTCTGTGACTCAAAGCAGATTGTATTAGTATTTACTCTATTTTTTAAATTGCTAATGCAATGAGTTAAGTATAGATTTTAATGGTACAAAAAGTGTATAGAAATACTGTGGGATTGATTTTGAACAAAAAGTTATATAAAATAGGGGTCATTCTGTCCTTCTCTGCAGAGACTTTACCAGCTACAGACCAGCAATCAAGATTGTCTGCCTAGATTAATCCCACTGTGTTCTCTTCTTCTATTTTAAACATTTAACATGCTAAGATCCAATTTTTGAGAAGCTTTTAGCTATTAAAGAATGAACTTGATTATTAGTACTAGGTAAGGTGTGTATGGTTTATATATGTGTAGGAAGAATCCTCTTCACCAGCCTCCTGCCCATAAGAGTTTTAAGGTTATTTGCAGAGTTCTATCAAGTGTTCAGATATTTTTACACCATGTTGGTAGTAACAAAATATCCTTTGGAGACTTCAGTAAGTTATATTTGACTGAGCAGATAATCAGATATCCTAACACATTGACATTTCCATTACCAAATTAGCATTTCAGTGCAGGGATGTGCTGTGCAGCTGAGGTCAGCTAACAGACTGATGTGTTTTTGGAAAAGCCCAAGAGCAAGCACTGAAAATTAAAATCAGTGCCGAGTTGTTGCAAGTGAACACTTAAATCATAGTGTGTTCTGTCAGGTATTAGCTCATTATACTGCTGCTCCTTTTACAGCTTTGGTTGCAGTCTTTCAAGTTTGTAATTCACAAATTGTACAAATAAAACTTCCTCCCTAAACCAAAATTGTTACCAAATCTCTTTGTAAATCAAACAGGACATAATGAAATGTCTGTTGTAAGCTTAGTTAAGACAACTTCCAGTCAATTTTAATCTAAAAATGGAGACATACACATTCAGGAGCATATAAAGAATGTTCTGATTGAGGAGTTGGGATTATTTCTAAAACAATGTAGTTTCACATAGTGAAATTGGGATGGGAGAATTTTTTCTGATAGCTGGATGTAAAGTAAAATAAGCATATTGTCCCCCAGATGCCCACATCATGTGTTCTGCTTATCCTCCAAGTAGCCTTGTTATGTTAGTGTCAGTCTTGAGTGGAGCTGCTTGAGGTTTGAGTGCACCAGCTTAATCTTATGGTTATTATTTTGGAAGGTTGTTTTTTAATTACTGATGGGTCTTAGCTGCTTTTCTGTAGGCCCCAATTCACATGACAATTGGTAGGTGAAAAATTGTCATTCTTTATTTTTAGATAAGCTGAACTCTCTGAAATATGGTTTAATCTCTTTACAATACCTTTAATTGATTGGCAAAGAAAATAAATTTGTTTTAAACTTGGTGATTTTAACCAAAGTACAGCATGATTTACTGATTGATCAACAAATTAATTGGTTGATAATATTGCTATCTTGTTCAATGGCCTTTTTGTGTGAAAGAGCTCTTGAATTTTGCTTTGACTGTTCTGTCCTGTGAACAGCATATAAGTAGTCTTCAAAACCTGGATTTTGGTTATTTGCACTAGTTCAATGCTCTCATTTTATAACAAGTCATATGAGTTATAAATCAGATCTAGGTTAAGGATCACTCCTTCCGTGTAATTGTACAATCAAGAATATTTAAATGGGATAAGCTCATTTTTATGAGCTTAGCTACTGCCAAGTTTTGAATATAAAACCAGAGATGTTAGTTTCCTTCATGGTTATCTGATTTAAAGTAATTCTGACCAATATTTTATAGGGCTGTCTTTTTTTTTTCTTCTAAATTGTTTTAATTTCTTGACTCTAATGTTGGTAATAGAAGGCCATTTGCTTTGTGTAGTCTTCTTCTTTCTTCAGAAATAATTGCAGTAAGTACACTTATGACCCTTAAATTCATTAGAAGAACGAGTGAATGAATAGGTGTTTCAATTTCTATGCACATTTTTAATTGCATGTGCTTCTGCTTAGTGTAGTATAAGGAGAATTTATTTCAGGTACATTTTAAGATCAGGTAGCTGTGTTCTATAGCTGGGTGATATAGTTGTGAAAACTTTTGTTGATCCACTAATAATTCCTAAAGGTATTGTGGGATTCCATTTTTACATGATGTAGTGATCAGTGATAGAAGTGTGAAGGGATTGAGTAGGCACTGCTTGATTCCCTCTCTTCTTTATTAGGAGTTGTAGTGCCCATTTTGGGGAAAGAAAAAACCAAAACAATAAAAGGATGACTAAAATTATAGTAATGATGGGTTGCAAATGAACTGGTGGAGTTAGTTTCAATTATTCAGTGTCTTATAGGTACTAGCAAAGATTGCCAAGTATATTTTATAAACAGAACTTGTTACAAAACTGACAAAATTCTGATTATTAAAATTTTATTTGATCAGATGATTAAATTAAGAGATTCCTTAGGAAACTGGGGATGAATAAAGGAATTTTAATTCAGTGAGATTTTTGTTTTGGAATGCAGATTCTTTGCAAGCTTTTGGATTTAATAAAAACAAGGTTTGAGTATGAAAATCTTTGAGCATTTAACAGCTTGTGTGGGAATTGATACTTTTTACTTTTGCCAGTATCACATGGTGCAAAAAACAGATAATGGGGCACGTATTATTCTGGTTTTGTGTTCTGAAAATAAATGGAAAAGAGGTTGCTCATGAATTCTAAGTTTTATATTTTCTTCACTATGTTCATCAACAAGCTGAAGGTCAAGGCTTATCCTTGCAAGCATGAGTTTGCCTCCTGGTGGAGCAGGAGTGAAATCCCTGATCCAGGCGCTGGGATGAGGTTTGAGTTCAATCGAATGCCTGTGGTCTGAGGTGGACTGGCCTGGCTTTCAAGCCCATCACTTCTAGTGGTAAATAGTGACTCCTAGATTTTTCTCGAGCCTCTAAAAAGCATCTCCTGATGAGGACCCACTGCAGTTAAAACTTGATTGAAGTGATTTATCACTCTTGTTTTTCCAGTGGTCGTTTCAGCAGTTTAGATTTACAAAGTCTTCTGCCATTCATTGTAATACTGAGCTCTGCAACTGGAGATACCCAGATGTTCCCTTCCAAGAACTGTCCTAAGTTTCTGTAGTAATTTTTTGAAAGGTTTTTCTATGAAAGTGAGTATTAGAAGCAGATGAAAAGAGGCAACTTTTGCCACCCTTTGTGTACTGACTTGGAAAGGTTTTAATACTAGTAAAAGCAATTCCTTTCCATTGATCTTATGAGGTGACAGAACAGTTTTCTGACATACTAGGGAGTAAGTTCCTCACCTAAGTAGGTAGACATGGACAAAGTAAGGTTTGGGTCTTCCAGCCAGTAAAAGGGACAGCGACAACACTTGGGGTACCAAGTAGCTTGTGCTCAAGCTTCCTTGCCCTTTCACAGTGTCCTTAGAAAGGGTTTCCTTGTCTAAGTACCCTTCTGAAATGTCACTGGGGAAGTTCCTCTGGGCCAACACACAAATTGAACACGGACCTCAAGGATTAAGAGGATTAGGATACCCTGTGGAAAGTTACAGGCAGCTGGTAACACAACAGGTTGTACTATTGGATCAGGCAGAATTGTCATTAGATGTTCATGAGGACAGAATGGTTTGATGTACTTTTTACAGATAATGAAAGTGTGGTGGTGATGGTGGTGTCAAACCAGGAAACTGTACAGGAGTGAGTCCTCACTGCCTGCTATAATGAACTGTCTACCAGGGCTGCTCTCCTCCCTCTGTAACACCAGGCTCTTTTGCCTTGGGTTAAAGTTTTGCTTTATTCAGCAGTAAAGCTGTAATACTTGTATTCCAGTATTTGCAAAATCTAGTTGGATAATATTGCCTGGAACTGTTTCCCTGGCATGCATGGATATGAAATTATTTCTGTTGAAGATTGTGTGCACAGGGGAAAATACCAGGGAAGTTTTAAAGTTGGGTAACATGTATTGTTAGCAGGGACCTTTCAAGTAGCATCTGCTGGCAGTGTGTGCCTGGCTGTCAATGATCCAGTAAAAAGAGACTGGATTTTTTCCCCTTTGTCTTTTTAATTCAAAATCCTTTGTAGATATCCCATAAATTATCTTAATTCCTAATTTAAGGATTATGACTTGATTTTTTTCAACAACCTGAAATGATAATGGGAGGGGAAGTTTTAAATGTTGACTGTGACCAGGAACTCCTCACAGTGCATGTTTGACATTTAGTGTTGCATTTATAAAAAAATCTGGTTTTAAAAGCTACTTGCAGAGTAAATTATCAGTACTAGTTAGTAATTTATCCACCAATCTACTACTGATTAATCCACATGCACTGGTTTGATTTTCCTGC